TATATATATATATATGTTGTTATTATTATTATTATTATTATTATTATTATTATTATTATTAATAGGCAACTGTAGGGCAACTGAAATACAGATAGCCCTCCTACAACACAACATCTTATAACACGATCTCCTTTCAAAAAAAACCTTTGTGTTATAACACTGTACTTTTACAGCCGCTGCGAGGCTTGCCGTCTTAAAAATACAGTATTGTGGAAAGTATTTTTTTTTTTTCATCTCCATGGTCTATAAACAAAAGTTTTTGGCTCATGGCTCTAAGTCTCATATAACACGGTTTCTCACAACACTGCATTTTCTAAGAACCTTTTTACCTTTATAATGCGTTTATTATATAACATATTAATTCTTATACGAACGAAATATCTTCTACTTTTTCTACGATGAAATATGCTTAAATATTTATTATAATACACGTCAGCATACGACAGGTAGGTATACGTTAATCGACCACATTTACTGTTTTTTCCCCTCTCTCTCTCTCTCTCTTACGAGACTATTTTGTACAATTTATCCTAGTAACACAAAATAGATATTGTGTTACACTTTTTAATATTAAATACACATGTATTCAATATTTTTCAATATTTTGTGCTACTAGGGGGAGGGGGGGGGTATTTTTTTCTAAAATTTCACTTTACATTTTTATACAATTACACTTTCCTATTTACTTTATTTTATAAATATTATTATATGAAATTTTATTTGCTATTTTCTAAAATATAAAATCAAATGTGCCCATAATTATGAAAATGGTCTAAGTCATGTATCTCTTATTTCGAGCTATTTAAAGATTTATATTTGAACATTATATGAATTCTACACAATATTGAAATAACAAACATTATTAACTAACGATTCATTTTTGACAATATCGTGAAAATTACATTGAATTTATTTAGTTTAAAATGATGTGGTGCGTAATAACTGATAAGCTAATTTTTTTTTTAATTTTCACTTAAACCACTTTCATAATTATGGGCACAAATGTAGAGATGTACCCCCATCATAACATATGAAAATGGACTTTCAATCTTTTAGAACAATTTAATCTCTATTGTGTTTGAAGATATTTCATTTAATCTCTCTCTTGTGTTTCAAAATATTTACTTTAGAATATAAATAAATTCTATGTATTTTTAAGATAACAAGCAGTATCTAATGATTCACAATGTTTTTTTCTTTCTTTTTTTTTTTTTTTATTTGAACTTATAAACAACTTTCATACTTATCAGGAGTAATTGTATAAGATTAATTCTATACACACTATTATGTATATATATATCATAAAAATTATATATATATATATATATATACTACACGATAAGAATGTATACTATAAACTGATAATGAATATGTATATGTAAAAAAAAGAAGAAAAAATCATTAAAAAACATTGATTTATATACGTAATAAATGTTGGAAAAAAAAAAAGAAAACACAGGTCATTGGGAAAAATAGCCTTTGGAACTTTGTTTATGTCACATTATTTCCAATTAAATGAAATCGCTCTTTGTTTAAGAAACTAAAAATATCTTATTATATCTCTCTCTCTCTCTCTCTCTCTCTCTTCCTCTTTAAAGTTCACAATACTATTTTCTCGAATGTTCGAACATAATGTATATGATATATAATTTTTTTTTTATACAGTAATAATTTAATAATTATATTAATAAAAAGAATAAAGATTTATTTATATATGTGTGTACATATATATATAGATATATACACATATATTATACATGTGTATATATATGTATATATAAGTAAATACGTATATATATATATAAGAAAATTGGCTTTTATAAATCTATGCGACTTCACAGGCATGTCGCATTAAAACTTTGGATCGATAATATACATACAAGTTGAAATGGCGAGACCACGAGAACGACGACGATGCATTTTACCGATAATACTTGAAAATGACTTTTTTTCTTTTTTTTTTTTTTGACTATAATTATAAATTTAAAACGTTTACGTTTATCCCTTAATTTAGTTCATTTAATTTAATCTCCCTGACAGAAATAAGAAGCAGAAGAAGAAGACAGAGAAAGAGTGGAAGACAAAACAGAAGAGAAATGGAAAGAGGGTGAAAAGGAAACAACGATTGTACTTTAAAAAAAGTAAAAAAAAAAAACCCCCAAAAAAGATAAGATAAGATAAGATAAGAAAAAAAGAAAACTAAGAAGATAGTTATACACTTACATGATGTCCCTTGGCAGTGTCTTCAAAATAATGTAAATCTTTCGATGACATTTACAAATTAATGTTATAAGGGCACAGGCTAATAAAACTTGAGCGATTCTTCCTAAAAATCCAATTCTTGCTGTTAAACCAGTTGCTATTAATCCGACAATAGCAAAAACAAGAAGRAACTTAATGTCCATTTTCTTTTCTTTTCTTTTTCTTTTCCTTTTCTTTTTCCTTTTCTTTAACTGGGTCACAAACTTGAACGAAAAGCGTATGCAGTTGTACTATTGCGAAACACGCTTTGCCGTCTTCTTTAAAAGCTACTGTGCATCGATGCTACATCAACGCCATTAAAGTGGAGGGTTTCGAAACTACTACAATGACCTTTAGTCAAGGGGTGTTTCTTACTTGGCGACACCTATACCACCTGACTCATGTTAACCATTTTTCCCCTAGTGTTGTTTTCTTTTATTCATTGTTATTTCATTTTAAATTCTTTTCAGATGCTGTATAACTGTATACGCTGAACGCCCCGGGGTCTGAACAGACTTCGCACGTTCCAGGTGCCCACTTTAAAGTCCCTTCTAATTATATTATATTATATTATTCTTAATCTCTGAATGGAATTTTTTCTTTCACTAAGATTGAGATAGCGTATTCAAACAAAACAAAAAAATAAAAAAAAAATAAATGTAGGGCTTATCGTCTACATATTATGCGACATCATGCACTCTAGAACTGTAGCTTGAGAAATAAACAATCTAGTTTTTACACGACATATTAGTATATTACATACCTAGGGCGGTAAAGTAAGAAATGTCTCAGAGCACATTTAATTGTTATCCGAGGCGAAGCCGAGGTCAATTAAACATATAATATATATATATATATAGCATATATAACAATATATAACCATATAATATAAACCATATCCTTATTGTATATATATATACAATATATATATATATACAATACAAATTTTTGTAGGAAATTAACTGCTGTATAAAAATGGTGTCTTATGTTTCGGCGATTAAATTAAGCGTTCAAAAGATATTCATCATCGAACTTTCATGTGTACTGATTTTTGTCCCAGCAAAAAAAAGCAACCCATTTTTCCGTGGCACTTGAAAAAAAAAAAGTCATTTTTTTGACCCACCCTAATATATATATAATATATATAATATAGTTTAGTATATATATAATAAACCATTTTTTTTTAAATAAAATCTTTGTTCTCCTATTATGACACAAATATATTCTTTTGTTATATATCTAATCTATAGATTAAAATGATAATAAGAGAAAAAAAGTCTCCCCTCTCCTGCTGTATATATCCTTTTTTCCCATATATTCGTATATTCACTATTTCTATATTCTCATTCTGCTAATGCATAAGAAATGTTTGAAATCGATTGCATTGGGCATCTGTTGTTGTTTGATTTTAATCAATCAGTGATAATAAAGAATATAATTATATTGATTACGTACTTAAAATAGAAAATTTTTATTCTAAAAAGTAACAAGTAACAATTAAAAGTTGTCATCACATTATAATCTGCCGTAAATATACACCATATATAAATACACCCCATCGTAAGAAATATTTTATAAATAAATGCTAGTACTGCTATTCAGGATAAAAAAATAATAGACCTTAATAAGGTCACTTTGATAAGCTATTGATACGCTTTTGAGGTTGTTTTTTTTCTTTTTTTTTTGATAAATTGTATTTTTTCATTCAAATTAAATTGCTATATACAAATATAAATAAGCAAAAATGTCTCTCTTTCTCTCTCTCTCTTTCTCATTCTCATTCTCTTCTCTAAATTTAGGAAGAACAAGAGTGATTTGTTTAACGTTCTCCCCATTTGTGCGGAAAATAATAAATAGAAAGATTTATTACAGTCAAAATGCACTCATTGTTGTAGCATATATAGAAGAGCATTTACACACTTTGCAGATAATATTTCATTCAACAAGCTAGAGATGTTTAATATCATTTGTTCAAATAATTTTATAATTTAATTTTTCCTTCTTGAATTTGATCAAATATTTCATTCGTTAACTCTTGATATCCTAATTTTGAATCCAAATAATACAATTTATCTTGTATTCTTTTGGGATCATAACCGTCATCTTGTAAATCCTTTTTTTTTAATTTAAATGTACCTAAAAAAATATAACACAAATTTATATATTATCAAAAAAATATTTCTAATATTAATATTAATATGACTATTAATGATATTATTTATTATTTACCCGTGAGATCAACTTTCGACAATATTCGAAGAAACAGAGGCCTGGCATAGAATGGTAATTGATCTTTAATATCGGCTGATAATTGTTTTAGATTTAACGTATTATTTTGATCACAAATTGCAGCCATACCAGCTCTTCCTTCTGAACCATGAACCTAAATAATGATTGATATTTTTATGAAAAATTGACAGGAACAACATAAAAACATGAAAAATATTATTAGTCGAATTACCTCAACACCGTAAACTATACAATCATTATAGTTTATTAAATTACTAATGATAGCCTCAACTTCGGACGTTGAAACATTTTCTCCTTTCCATCTAAACGTATCTCCCGTTCTATCTTTGAAATAAAGATAACCTAATTCGTCTGATATCAGAATATCACCTGAAATCATGCAATTGAAAAGAAATATTTTCTATCGTTAAAACATTAAATGTTGAAATGTAATAATAATAATAATAATAATAAAAAAAAGAAATATACCAGATAAAAAGGCAGAGTCACCCTTAGTGAAAACATCTCGTACAATTTTGTTATCAGATGCTTTCTTATCCACGTATCCCAAAAATGCTCTACTCGGGTTGTTAGGTATTATTTTTCCAATAAAAACACCAGGTTCGTCTAAATGAACAAAAAGAGAAAGGAAATAAATATAATAAGAAATGAAATAAATAAAGTATAAACAATTAAGACAACCGTTTTGAATGAAAAGCAGTTAAATCCAAACAATCCACATATTACTTGCCACGATATTTTCTAAAAATTCAAAATAATACAAAATATAATAGCACATTCGATTGATTATCCTTAATAAAATCAAACTTACTAGGTTCACAAACTTGACACAATCCTTTAGCATTTCTTATTGGTTCGCCTTCTTCATTAACTTTAATAATAGATATTGGATATGCCGATGGAGCGATTCGTGACATGAATCCTATAGCTCCAACAGTATTATCGATGTTTACTAAAAAATACGAATATTGATAAATGATATTGTTTTTTAACAATAATTTTGTCTTCAAATATAAAATGTCTTCAGTCACGTTTATCCAATTAGATTTTCTCTTACCGATATTTGCATTACCCTCGGTCGCACCATAAAATTCAACAATTTGAGGTATATTAAATCGTTCTACAAATTGACGCCATATTTGTGGTCTAAGTCCATTACCAAATATCATTCGAAGATTGTGTTGTTTGTCTTCGGGTCTAGCTGGTACTGCCAAAATGTAACGACACATTTCACCTATGTACTGTGCAATCTGTAAAATAAAATCAAAGAAGAAGAAGAAGTTATATCCCCATTCGTTACAAACACGAACATTCTTTCATTAGATTTCTTTTTATAATAATAATAATAATAATAATAATAACGTTATTATATTTATTACCGTGCATTTATATTTGATGCAATCGTTGAAATAAGCACTGGCAGAAAATTTCTTTCTAATCACAACGGTATTTCCGTGTAATAGAGCTTGACCCATTGTCATGACACCACCTGCGGTATGATATAAAGGTAACGGCGTATAGAATATGTCAGATGATTTCATATTAGCTACAATATTAATTCCACTAGCGATGAATATAAATCTGTGAAATAATATTAAAGATTTATCGATTAATAACTTTCTCCTAACAATAATTGTTTGAATAATTATTATTTAATAAAACATACGTTTAGGGGTGGGGGCTGGGGGGATATATAATTATTTGTATTAATCTCACCTTGAATTAGTTATGAAAGCAGCTTTAGGAAGACCAGTTGTTCCACTAGTATAAATATACAATAAATTATCATGATAGGATATTTTGTCTTGCTGTACTGGCGGCAATGTAGAAACTTCCGATAAAATATTCGTTAGATTTTTTGCTTTCAAATGCATAGATTCAGTCATTATCTCAGTTCCATATTTATAAAGTGCCACATTAGCATTGAGCGAGCTAGCAATATCCGCAACGACTACAAAGTATTAATAATTATGATATTATAGTTAGTAATTTCACAATACAAAACAGATTACTTTTGATAAATTCTTATTAATATTTTGTTGTTGTACCTTCTGTAAATTCACAACTATAAATTAATGCTTGACAATTGGCAACATCGATGCTATGTAAGAGAGACAATTTTTTCAGATTAATATTAATCAATGACGTTATTACGCCTATTTTACTCAAACCAAGCCAAATTCCAACAAAATCAGGCCGATTTTCCAACATCAATGCCACCACATCTCCTTTCCGATAACCATGATTTTTAAAGGTAGTTGCTACTTTGTTACTAAAATCTTCCAACTGTTAATAACAAATACGATTAATATTAATTTAATATAAATAAAGAATAAAAATAATATATTTCTAATTTGATTATCCAACGTTAACTTACTTGCTGAAACGTCCATTCTTGATCTTCAAATATAATGCATACTTTGTTCGGATGCCGAGCAACGTGTTGTCGAAATATATCAACAACACTTCTATTATTTTTTTCATGACCACGAATTAACCAAAGAAGTTTAAGAAATCTTTGTAAAGCTCTGAAAAAAAAAACAAATAATAATAATAATAATAATAATGTAATAAAAAAAAACATTAAACACATTTGTATAATTTTAGTCGTATCGATAAAAAAAAAACTGACCGATCGTTCAATAGCAAACATTGTTTTGCTGAATAATTATTATTCTTTATTTAACAATAATTGTCATCACGTTTTATATAATATTATAAATAGGTGAAAAAAAAGTAACGCTCGAGTAACGTGCATTAGAAGAATAAAAGCGTTGGAAAAAACTGAAGAAAATTATAAGAAGATGGAGGGATAGAAAAAATACGGTAAGAGTAGGAATTAATATCGGTAATAATATTATTAAAAAAAAAGCTTCTAACGTTCGATTGAATTCAATCCTACTCGATTGCTTAAGTAATTCTCACGTTTCCGAACATTTCCATAGAAGAATCTCAAACTCGTTGCTAAATGTAAATGATACGCGTTATTATGTGACATTATTAGAAAAATATACACAATATCTGAACAATGTTATTAAACGGTTAATTGTTTAATAAATTTTATATTAATATACGAATTTCCAATATCAAAATTAGATGTTTCATTAACTTTGTTAAAATCATATAAACCGTTGGGTTGACCGATCAGAGAATAACCGGGAGAGAAGTAACTGGTTAACGGTAGACCAAGCATCATAAAAGAAAGAAGAAACAAGTTGTATGATGAAGTTCGTATGAATACGGGAAAGGATTTTGTGTGGTTGAATACTTTGCAATATGACAAATAAATAATTTTTTTTTTTTTTTTTTAATGAAACGAATAGAATAAAATTAAAAGCAATGAAATCACAAAACTATAAATGACGCGCAGGTGAACAAACAACGGACGTGACAAGCATATCGTTAACTACTAATAATAAATGCTAAAAGATTATTTTGAAAGTAAACTATGAGAGGAATATTTGATTTTCAAGTAGACAAAATGAATGGTCCAAAGTTTTTCAATTATATTCCAAATTATTTACGTAATTTCTTGTTTTTTTTTGTTTTTTTATATCAATTATTACGTATAACAAGTTCTCAACTTGTAGTTTTATAATAACAGAACAAATAAAATAACAAATTAATAATGCTAAAGTAGAAAAAAAAAACAAGGTTGAAACAACAACAAAAAACGATTGCTCTTTAAAATCAAGCATTGGCGAACGAACGAACATATATAAGTATACAATAGCGTGCGTATAATAAATAAAAAAAAAAGTAATAGGATAACGATGACGATGATTTACTTACTTGGAATCACGAGGTATTGTACGAAAGAAAACATAGAACCATTTTAGACGACCTCCGGCAACGAAGTATGCAACAATTACAACGACAAAAAGTTGAAGAAGAAACATGTGACCGATGTAAAGAGTCAAAAAGGCCAATAAAGCAGCGACAAATGTTATTAACAACATAACTAGGATTAGTTGTCGAAGAAAACGTTTGATTCTTTGACAACGGTTTGTTGTTGTTGTTGTTGATGCTGCTGCTGCTGTTGCAGTTCTACATTCGCCACGTGTCGTTTTGTCGTCTTCTTCCAATGTATCTTTTTTATTACTGGATAACGTAACAACGTCCACCAATTCTGCTTGTTTTTCTTCTTCCTCTTTCTCCTCACCAAGATTGACTATCACCTGGTTTATATTCTGAACTGAATGTACTGATGTGGTTGCTGCTGTCATCGGCGTTGACTGGGATCGGTTCAATGATTCCCCTACTCTTCTATGGACCTTGCCCCTCTCTACATCCTGCAATATGAGAAAGCAATGTTTCTTTTTCTTTTTTTTTTGTCTTGTTTTCTTCTTCCTCTTCCTCTTATTCTTATTCTATACTTCTTTTTCTTCTTCTTCTTTTTCTCTTCTCTTCCCTTCTCTTCTCTATTTATTATCTATTTCTCTTCTCCCCCACCTCCATTTTCACCATCTTATCTATTCCTTTATCCCCCGTTTCTTTTTCACTACATGTTTACAGGTTTTTTTTTCTTCCCATAAATTTACATGCTCGTTTTGAAGATATTGACTTTTATAAATGACTTTCTTTGAATTATTTCTATAAATATATATATAATTCTTTCTAGTTGTTTATTAATATATACATTTGTCACGTGACTGCAAAAGGACGGAATTTTTTTTTCATGTTAATTTTTTTGCCTAACCAAAAAAAACGTTAATATTTTTTTTTCTTTTTTTTTTAGTTATCTGTTTCTTAATTCCAATAATTATCATGTATCATTCTATATTCTATTTTATTCTGTTTTTATTTTTGGTTCCTTTTAATAAATATAATAGTATAACGTATACTTTATACATAATTTATATCATTCGCATACCATTAACGTTTCATTTATCATTCTTGAATATGTATATACACATAGTTTAATATAGTTTTAAGAATTCTCAAAATAGAGCTCTTCCTATATGTTGTTTTTCACATTTTGTATTTAATGAATGTACGTATTCTGAAATCTACAAAGACAATCGATATACTTTGAACTTCCATATATTTGAATAAATTACATTCGCATATTTGAAGAAACGGGAAATCGTAAATCCACATATATATATATATACATATATATATATATATATATATATATATATATATATGTACATATATATAAAGAAAGAGAGAAAGTAACATAAGAGAAAGTTAAAAAGAAAGACACGCGTTATGGGTTACTTAAAGTTCTGTTATATGTTATCAATAATTTGATAATGTTTCACATTTTCTCTACATTTAAATAAAATATATTTCATTTTTACATATTTTTATATATACCATTGTAAAATTGTTAAGAGAAATAACTGGTATAAATTTCTACAGACAAAAAGATAAGAAAAGAAAAGAAAAGAAAAGAAAAGAAAAAGAAAAAGAAAATGTCAAACGTAATTTGCTGGTAAAATAATATTTCATGTCTTTGCATGCAAATTTTCTTATAAATACTTCTTCAACTAACGTTAAATATCACGATGTTGTTTCGTAATTAGTCAATCAAAGCTTATTTATGGCTGTTAAGCAGTTCATCTACACATATACACACACACATATATATATATATATATATATANATATATATATATATATATATATATATATATATATATAGGGTGATTCTTGGAACGGAGGCGGGTAATAACTTTTTTTAAAATAATCATAGAAAAAAATAATAAAGGGAAAAAGTTCAATGGCACAACAAATGTCAACTTTTTATGAGCTTACTTTTTTTGAAAATGCATCGATGCACCCGCTAAATGCAGTTGCACTTTTTTTTTTAAATGGAACTTTATATTTTTCTTTACACTATTCGATTTCTTTTTTTTTTTTTTATTTATTCTGCGTTAAAAAGTATTAAGTGAAGTTCATCGAAATGTCAATAGTAGTTTACGAGATATTTGATGTTTTATATCAGTAATGTATTTTATTACAATAAATGTTCGAATGTTTTTTCCATTTCATTCGATACAATTAGGTATGCGCACATTCTATTGCACTTTTTTTACATTTTTCATTACATTTTTTTAATTAAACGAAGTAAAGTCATAGAAAGTTGACATTTGTTGTGCCATAGAACTTTTCCCTTTATGATTTTTTTCTATTGTTATTTAACAAAAAATTATTACCCGCCTCCGTTCCAAGAATCACCCTATATGTGTAGTGAAATATTTATCTTGAGCATACATTTGAATACAAAATGTAAATTGAATAGAATTAATTACAAAATTCTACTTATTTTCTTCTATTCAAAATTATTATTATTATTTTTTTTTCCATTCAAGATTATTATTTTGTAATAATATTATTTTTATTTGATATTGCGTAAGTGAGTCTGAAAAAAAAAAAACAAAAAAGATTAGAAATAGAATAAGGTAAATATTTTCGATAAATGCGTACTTGCTTGTTCGTCTTATGTTAGTTTTAATTATCAAAATGATCGTGAATAGTAATATAACCTATTGATGGCGTTAAAAGTTTTATTATAATTAACACGATATTTATCGTTTCACGCACGTCCCATCTATTTAATTCCTTATTATCATTTTCTATTGTAAATATTCGCATGATTAACAATTGTCCTCGACTAACGAGTATTTATATAACGGGGCATAGTTCAGTTTTTTTTTTGTCATTCATACAGAAGTTTATTTGTTATACGTTTCTTTCTTTTTCTGTTATATATAAATATATATATATATATACAATTCTTTAATAACAATT